TCGAGTAGAATTACCACGCGTAGAATTACCACGCGTCGAATTACCTTTCAAATTACCTCTACTCAACAATTTACCCTCTGCAATTTCCTCGAAACCCAAGACAATTCCGAGTGTAAATTCGCAACGATCGTTCCATTTCTGAAAGGTCGAAAATGATAGAAAAAATTGAGAGTCGATAATCCGTGATCTCGAGAGCAGCAAAATCGTCACGTCTTCGTGGTCGGTGTTTCGTAAACCCTCCATTTCATCAACGATAATCCTCAGATAGGAGAATTCGTCTTTACCCGTAAAACACAGCATGTCGGTATCGCCAATAATTCGGGATATCACTAGAGGCGTTAATTAAAGCGATATCACGGTGGTATTACTCAATTCGTGTGGCAGTTTGAAACTGACGTACGAAAAAGAAAAAAAGAAGGTGCACGATTTATTGCCAGATCGTCTCTGAGGAAGGAAATTGCCAGAAGAAGAAGAGGAAGAGAAACGAGAGCGAACGAGATAGGAGACAATCGATCCGGGATTCAGTTGTTTGGAGAGGAAACAACGTCGATAAATTGACTAATAATAGGAGACCATTGGCCTAATCTACCAGCGTCGACGTCATAATGCACTTAACGGATATTTTCGGCCGGCGACTATTTTCAAGACTATTGACGAGAAAGATGATGGATCACTCCTACGAACTTGATTAACGTTTTCAATCTGGAAATCTCAATCATTTTGATCGAGTCAAATTTTCTAAACAATATCCTCTCACCTCAAATATCCTCATAAAAAAAAATTGCTGAATCCTCAAATTCCTAAAGTTACAAATTTAAATAGTAGCGACGGTAGTAGACCGTACCATAAAACGAGTAATAGGGTCTTTTCCGGCAGCGAAAGTTGTGGAAAAACGTTGGCGTTACTTTCCGTGCGGAATTCCAGCTCCCCAGCGTGCATTCCAATTACAACCCGAACTCGAACAATTCCGTGGCAACACCTTTTATTCGACGGAGAAGCGGAACGTTTACCGAAACAATCCCGAGGTTTTTCACGAAATTGCGTTCTCTGCGACGGTAAACGGGAAGCTGTCATTGCGTGCTTGTGCTCTCTAGTCACTTTCCAACTTCATTGTTTCAGATTCCACGCGAAAGCTACAGGATGTGCTCACCGAGTTCTGTGGTTCGAATACGACGCCCAGCGGAGCGCCGAAATATCATCCGGACGGGGTGAGTGCTTTGAAAATTTCTTTTTGGTAATTTGCTCTTCGTTGACTGTAAGGTATTGTCTACGTCTGTGTTGGTACAAGGTTCTAGTACGAGGTACTAATACGAGGTAGTAGTACAAGGTACTAGTCTTCCTAGGTAGTTGAATTTTTGCCTTCTTTATTTTGTACCAAGCAGCATTAACAGGTCCGTCGTTGAAAGAATATGACTTCGTTCTTTACCTTCCTTTTCTAACGACAGCATAGAAAGATTTTTCTGATTATTATGGGAAGTTTAGTTTTATTAAACTAGAGTTTGGGCACTTTAGTTTAATAAAACTCGCAAGTTGTTCAGTATCACTCCAGTTATCAATCCTTGATGAATTGTTAGGTTATACCCATCACTAGACGAACACCCTGTATTTTTTTAGAAGTGAACTGATTTTTTTTAGTTGTTCCTAATGAAACATTTTAGGACTAGGTAGTCGAATTTTTGCCTTCTTTATTTTGTACCAAGTAGCATTAACAGGTCCGTCGTTGAAAGAATATGACTTCGTTCTTTACCTTCCTTTTCTAACGACAGCATAGAAAGATTTTTCTGATTATTATGGGAAGTTTAGTTTTATTAAACTAGAGTTTGGGCACTTTAGTTTAATAAAACTCGCAAGTTGTTCAGTGTCAATTTGTTCAGCGCCCTTGATGAACCGTTCGCTTATACCCATCACTAGACGAACACTGTATTTTTTTAAAAGTGAACTAATTTTGTTTAGGTATTCCTAATGAAGCATATTAGGACTAGTTCTTAGACCCTTTTTCCTCATGCTCAAGAGGTCCCATGTTCATGTATACGTTTGTACATAGCATGCTTAGGACCATCTTTGAAGAGTTAAGTTTAGTTCATCAAACTTGTAGTTGGACATTGCTCCTCGCTTCTGAATAAGATATAAGAGCATGTGGTTGATTTTTGAACAGCTTCGTCGATATGTTTGTATATGTTAGCATGCTTAAGATCATCTTTGAAGACATTGTTCATCAAACTTGTAGTTGGACATTGTTCGTAACCTCTGAATAAGATATAAGAACATGTGATTCATTTTTGAACAGCTTCAATCCATATGTTTGTATATGTCAACATGCTTAGGACCATCTTTGAAGACGTTCATCAAACTTGTAGTTTAATATTGTTTCTCTAAATAAGACATAAGAGTGTATGATTGGTTTAGTGCATTACAACACAAGCAAAGAAACGCAAAAATTTAACTACTGCTACTAGCATTGTACCGCCACAGTACAAGTACAGTCCCTCAGCCAACTCGCTTTAACCGGGTCAAAGTACGTGTCCTCTGTTACCCCCGGCAAGATATGGAGCAAACTTCCAGTGCAATAACCTCCGGAAGTTATTAAGACTACCCCATTGTCTTCCCAGTTCCGTCAACGTTAAATCTTTATATCCGAAAACTTTCAACGAATGACACTGCGTAAACTTAGTGTAAGATTGCATTACTTATATTGTTCCTTGACGAAAATATTATCGACGCGAGAAATTACTGCGAGGAATTGCTAGTGTTTTATATCGCGGTGGAATTTTTCCGAAGATAAACGTTATAAAATTGATAACGCAGGTGCAGACGAGAAAGTGAAACGAGTTTTCACGCACGGTGAAAAAAGCTGCGTCCCATAAAACTCATAACTATTTCTGCGGCTATTACAGTGCGAATGCGTCTGGGTGTACGCGAACAGGTGCGAGTTATTGCGAGTTTATACCGTGCAATTTGTGTGTGTGTGTGATGGCGCACGTCGTTCCCAGTTTCATCCTCGAATCGACGCGACAGCACGTGAACGAATGTCGTTCGTTCAGGAGAGTCCGAAATTCGTTTAACTTCTGATTCGGGCCAAGTTATTTATCGTTGGTGAACAGACGTCGAACGGAATATTGAATCTGATCGTGTTCGGGGATATTTTAAAAACTTCCTTCCGGACTCTTAAAACTTGATTAAAAACTTTTTTGGATTTTTGCTACTTTATCGCTGCGTATTCGGACATGTTTCATAGCGATAACAGATAGTGCTGTTTCTTATCATTGAGCTCTATTTTATCGGGGTATTAAAATTTTAATCAATCGATGTTTGTCGATTCACTATTTACTTTGGACTTATCCATCTGTTAGCCAGATGGATATATTTCTTTCAAAGTACATTAAATTGAACGGAATTTTATATTTAACTACTAGGACAAATTATTTAATGTCTGCACCTATTGTTTCCTTATTATTGTTTGTCCTCATTATGCGTCAATTATTGCTGCATTTTCACAAATAAAAAAAATTGAAATATCAGCTATACTTTGAATAAATCTTATACTAATTATCTACACATTATCTTAGTACAAAATAGCAGTGCTGCAATTATGAATTTTATTCTGAACTGTAACGTGCATCACGAGTGCGTCGCGAGTGCGTCACGAGTGTCTCACGGTATTATAAATGAACGTGCGTCTCGAGTGCGTCACGACATTATGAATGAACGTGCGTTATGAGAACTACCACGCGTAGAATTACCATGCACAGAGATTACCACGCGCAGAGATTACCACGCGTAGAATTACCACGCGTAAAACTACCACGCGTAGAATTACCACGCGTAAAACTACCACGCGCAGGGATTACCACGCCTAGAACTACCACGCGCAGGGATTACCACGCGTAGAATTACCACGCGTAGAACTACCACGCTCAGGCATTACCACGCGTAGAACTACCACGCGCAGGGATTACCACGCGCAGGGATTACCACGCGTAGAATTACCATGCACAGGGATTACCACGCGTAGAACTACCACGCGCAGGGATTACCACGCGTAGAATTACCACGCACAGGGATTACCACGCGCAGGGATTACCACGCGTAAAACTACCAGGCGCTGGGGTTACCACGCGTAGAATTACCATGCACAGGGATTACCACGCGTAGAACTACCCCGCGCAGAGATTACCACGCGTAGAATTACCACGCGTCGAATTACCATGAATCAAACTACAGAAAAATATTAGTGAATGTACCCACTGAAAATTAAAGATCGAACCCCTAAGTAACCTTAATTTTCGAATAAAGAAAAGTCTACAATTAAAAGGTCTTAGAAGCGTGAAAGGTATTTGATCCATCAGTTTGATCGCTCGAAATTGAATTATTCGATCGTTTGGTCACATCACGAACAGATGGAGGAAGAGGAATCCGAAGTACCGATCAGAAAGCAAGAACGGTCGGTGATTCGAGCAAGAATGTTCATTGGAGAACTCGTAATTAGGTTGACGGAACAAGGAGTTAAGTCGTGATCGCGTGGTCCGTTTGTGTTGGCTCGTTTGGTCGCATATTTCCGCCATTAGCCAGCCAGATATGCAGAAAACGCCCCGACGGAATATCGACCAACGCCACCACTACCATTCTGCACATCGATAATGATTCCCCAGGGAATTACGAGTGGGTCTATCGAAACTCTGCTGGCTGGCAAAGCAGCTTACAGCTCGCGTCGTTCACGCCGTTGAACACGATAAATCAGCTTTGCCATCGCGACCAACTTCTTCTGACGTACCGAAACTACCCGTCTCGTTTGCGCGAAAAAAAGTTAAGGCTTTCGTGACAAAAAAAAATCCTGCACCACTCAATTTCGTAATTAAAAGCCGATGTTTCTGCGTCCTCTACGAAAAAGACTCAGGAAATCTCAAAAGGGAAGCTAAGAAGATTTGGAACACAGCTTGCGGCAATTTTAACGTAAATCCGTCGCATTTCTTGTGTTGCATTTTAGAAGAAAGATTATAGAGAGGTTGCATCAAGGTTTGCAAATAAATCCTCAACGATTTACTTTGCAGATGATAAATGTATAAAAGTAAGTAGCTTAACACATAAACAATTTACGAGTTAATTATTTTACTCAAATTACTACTAAAAAATGACCAAAGAACGCTATGTTCCTATTTGTCGAACGAACAGAAACAAGTTAAGGCTTTCAGACTGAATAGAAACAAAAAAGCATTGTCCGTAAAAAAACGCGCAAAGTCGGAACAGACTGCGAATAGGAAGTCCAGTAGCAGCAAAACTGATCGATGGAAGATAATCGACGAGCCGAAATCTCGTTTTCGCTGAACGAGAGAGTTGGCGAACAAAAGTTACCGCACTCGACGGCTTTTTGCTCGTCGTGCAACGTCAGGACGCAAAGGTTGGCATCGGGGATCCAATTTTCGCGAACAAAGGGGCCGCGAATCTGGCATGTACAAGGTGTGAAGCTCTTCGTGGGACCGTTGGCTCTAATAGCCCACGAAACTTCCAAGTTTCTATGGTCCACAACGATTTCAGTTCCTCTGCAGGTCCTGCAAATTCTATTATGTAATTGCTTCTAACGTTATTTTAATTTTAAATCGAAATTTTGCGACATTTTATTACTCATTTATAGAAATGTAATTGAAGGTACTTTTACTGTTGCTATCTTCAAAACATTTTAGTTAAAAAGTTTGGATTCTTTCAAGATTTCTCTGTTGCTCTTTTTCATTATATTTAGACATATATGTACATCATATGTTATGCATAATATACATGTGTGCATCATATATTATACAGCATATGTACATCATATATCATACGTCATATACATATGTGCAGCATATATTATACATCATATGTACGTCATATACCATACATCATATGCACATCATATATCATACGTCATATACATATGTGCATCATATATTACACATCATATGTACATCATATATCATACATCATATACATATGTGCATCATATATTACACATCATATGTACATCATATATCATACATCATATACATATGTGCATCATATATTACACATCATATGTACATCATATATTATACATCATGTACATATGTGCATCATATATCATACATCATATGTACATCACATATCATACATCATATACATATGTGCATCATATATTATACATCATATGTACGTCATATACCATACATCATATGCACATCATATATCATACGTCATA